TAATTCAATTTGATTTAACTCAAATCATCCTTGGTACATTTCTCCAGATGCTGCCAGACTGCAACTGCCTTCATTCCTAGCCTGCATAGCCAATCCAGGGATTGATGGAAGTTGGAGTCTAAATAACATCAGAAAGACTGCAATTTGCTCTTCCTTGCACTAGAAATTTCTAACAAGAAAAGCAGCATGCATTATACAATGGGAACACAGAGAGAAACAGGAAAATTGTCACAAAGAGCTAGTAACCCAACAAGCAGGTGGCCACTATTTGTGTGAGCTGTCTTAAGTCCTGGCCCAGGAGGAAAGTAGCATGTACAATAAAATAAAATAATAAATAAATATTGTCCATGCATATATTGCCTTTCCAATCCATTAAGTGAGTATGCGAGAGGGAAACCAGGATATTTTTATGCTTCTGAAAAAACTTGGATGGCAGATAATTAAACAGGATTTTCCCTACTAAAAACACAACAACTGAAGGATGTAGGATTATTGCTTTAGTGGTAAAAGTACATTTGGCTTTTTCCCCATCTCTATAGGTTCTCATATACCTTCTCATCCATCTTTATATACCGTATTTAATCACATAATAGTTGCCATTGGATAATAGTCACACACCGCTTTGGGGGGGGGGGTCCTGGTGTTGGTCTTTTTGTATTCTCTGCATGATAGTCACACACACCCTTGAGCACCTGCACCTTAGAGCAGTCCCCATAGCTCCAAGGGGGAGATGTGCAGGTGGGTGAAGTCACGAGAACTAGGAGGCCTCCCTCGGCTGCCAGTTGTTGAGGGAAGCTCCATAGCTCTCGCCTGCACACTCTGGTGGGAAAGGCCTACAGGGTCCCTCTCAGCCAACCAGGGGAGGCCTCATAGGCCTAAAATATTTCTCCATACAATAGTCACACCCCCTTTTTGAAGGGAACAAGTGGGCAAAAGTGTGACTATTATGCAATGTAATGTAGTATCTCTCCCAATCTTGCCAGTTGTTGTGTACTCCTCTTCTGAGGGGGAGGAAGTAGAACAGGATGCTGAAGATGTAGGAGTTCAGGATTTGAGGCCAAGTGTTGAGGAGGAAGAAGAGGGCGAGGAAAACACTGCCAGTTCCTACCATTCAGGAATGTTGAAGGGTTAAAGAAAAAAAGGAGAAAGTAAGCTAGAATTGCTGCAAGGATGCTGAGCAATGGGACCTCACCCTAGAAACATTTGTGCTGGGAACTGAGGGCTATAAATCAGTAGTAAAGCAAGTGGTCAATGCTGGCAGCAACTATTCTATTAAGTGCTTCTGTGGTCCGGTTTCCTTGCTTGCAGCTCCAGCAAATACCTCGCAAAGACCTTTTGCCAAAGAATCTGATTTTATGTCTGAAATCAGACTTTTCCTTTGCTTTTGGGATTTTCCTTCTGTTGTTTTGCTGCTGTTTGTTACAGTATTATCATTTTGCTGAAGTAAAGCTTTTTTAGTTGCTTTAACCCTTGTTGTAAGGCTGTTTATGGGGCAAAACGGGACATCAGTGAACCAATACTTGCCATTTAAGATAAATTGGGAAAAATCCATATCGATGTTTCTCACCATTTTACAGAATATAATTACTAATAGGTGAAGAGGGGAAATAAATGTTACTATATGTAGATTGACCACGTTATCACACCAGGACTTTAAAGTGGGCAGCCCTGCATTTCTGCCACCTGCAGAATTCTTGGAAATGTAGTTTAGGGTGGGGCTTTTTGAATTATCAGCTACAGAGGCCTTTGCCTTCCCAGACTACATTCCCCAGAATTCTGCAGGTGGCAGAAATGCAGGGCTGCCCACTTTAAAGCCCTGGTGTGATAACGTGGTATGACTGATTTCCACCAGTGCAGAAGGTAATATTGACTGCAGAATTCATCTTTCTTTTTTTCAAAACATGTTTCTAGTCTCCAGACTGTAATGTTAGATGAATCACTGGGGGTTCAGCAAGGTTTCCTTTGACCACATAGAGCTTCCTTGCCTGTATCAACTCTTTGCAGCAATAAACTGAAAGATTAAAAATGGACACAGTCAGAAAATATAGGTATGCAGAGATGTCAATGAAATAATAAATATAAATTATATGTATGTGTGAATGTGTGTGTGTGTGTGATAAAACTGCCCCTGCGGAAGCTTTCTTTCCAGAGCTTCATTCAAGCTTAATTAGCAAGCCTCTCTCCCACTTTTTATTTCCTCTCATTGGAAGAATTTTTTAGGAGGTCAATGGGGGAAATCTCCTTCGTTTGTAATTATTTGGATTTAACTAGGTGCTTTCCTCAGTGTTGTACATCCTGATTATTAGCCAGTCTCTCAACATATGTTAATCATTTAGGCAATTTGTCTGTTTACAATACTTCATTAGCCGAGGAGTGTGCGAGACTCTCTTTGTGACTAGACGAAGTCATGTTCCATGAGCTCTGCTGTCATTGCAAAGACAATTCTCGTAGTAGACAGAAGAGAAGTCAAGAGGGGTTTGGGGAACTGGGGGTTGAATGTCCTCAGTAATGAAAGAACAATTAAGAGCTACAAACAGACGCAAGGGAAAAACAGCTTGATGGAAAGCAATGTAGAAACCTTTCTGAAAGCAAGGACTGCATTGGCTTCAGCAAAGAGAGTGGAGAGGGCTGGCAGGCTACCCTTCTGACAAATATCCAGCCCATTTTCAGATCCTTGTGGTTGCTTCAAGGAAATGAACTTTTTAATATATAATTTTTAGACCAAGACATAGACTGACAATTGAAATCATTTGGCAATCCATTCTTTAGAAGTAATTCCCTCAATATCAATAGGACTTGTTTGCTTGCTTGATTTAAATATTTTTATCCATCATCTATGCAAAAAAGTCTCAAGGCAATCTGATAATTTAAAACAGAATGAATAATTAAAATGATTTCAAAAGGCTAAAAACATATTAAACAATTTAATAAGAAAGACATATTAAAAGGGTTGGAATAGTTTAAAATAAATATACTTAGATGACAATATGCATAGAATGGTCATGTCAATGGGAAATATTGCCTTATATAGGTTGAGCACCCTTATCCAGGATTATGAAGTCCATAATACTCCAATAACATCCAGATGGGTGGTTGAGCTAGTGACACCATAGTTCAATGTACACAAACTTTGTCTCATGGGGAAAAAATATTATTATATAAAATAAATCTAGCTTCAGGTCATGTGTATAAGATGTATGAGAAACATAAATGAATTTCATGTTTTGATTTGGGTACCATCCTCAAAATATCTCATTCTGTATGTACGTGCAAATAGAGGTATTTCGGGGGGGGGGGGGGTTGAAAAAAATAAAACCCTCAAATCCAAGCGTTTCAGTGAATGGATGCTCAACTGTTGAGGCTTTTAGAAAACTAAAACATAAGACGCTACCCCCATACTCTTCCTGTGCCCATCTTCTTTAGATGCCTTTGGTGGTACTTCAGACATTTCCACCGCTTCATAGTAATGGAGGCTTTTGTGTAAATGTCAGTCATCACTTCCCATTTGTAAATCAGACATTCTCCTTCATCTCACAGCTGAAACAAATATGAAGGGTGGATTCCTCAGTGTTGCTGATACAAACCTGTTACCAAAGAGGATACTTAATTTATATTTTCTTGTGTTTTCCCTCCTCCAGTACCCATGGTTATGACTTTGGTTTAAATGACCTTGTCACATGGCCACCAGAGTTGCTCCACTTCATTGGGGGGATTGGGGAACCCAACGTTCCTTGCCTTGCATCACCCGGCTCCAGGTGAGGGCAATCACATGGGGGAAGCATGGAGCATGCATCAAGTATGTGGTGTCCCCCCATGGATTCCAATGGCAACACATAATATTTATTTATTTGATCAGTCATATGACCATTTCAAAATAGAACACGAGTAAAAAACAAGGCAACAAGGTGAAGACAGCAGCCAACCTTCTATTTATAGTCAGAATCTTATTTTCCTGGTTCTTCTTTCAGGAAATCTGCCCTTTTCTTAATAGCTTTCAGAATAAAAAGCTATGTCCTCCTTCCCCATGGAGCCGGGTTGGCATTGTCTGATGAGAGCCAGTGGGTTCTGTGGGTGACCTGAGCTAAACTGGTGCATGCCACTGATTTTAGTCCTGTGTGAAGATGTCCATATACACAGTGGAGAATAAAGGTGGACAAAGTATTGCTTCCCAGGGATGTTCCGCCGGTGCCCCCTTTCTCCTGGTATCACTTGTCTGGCCCATAGAAGGTGACATCTCTCTCCTGGAAGTCTCCAGGAGCAGCAATTTGCCTTTGAGATGGGTTGTAAGCCTTTCTTGCACTGCTTAACATTTTAAAACATCAATCAAAACCAGAAATGGACTTCCAATGTTTTCTAGAGGTGGTGGTACTGATGGGGATTTTGCATACTGCACAGCTTCTGGAGGGGCTCAGGGGCGCAGAAATCAAACTCTTAGGCTCATTCTAATTGTCCATCTTTGGTAGACAGCTATACTTAGTTTCTTTTCTTTAATAACAAAATTTTGTTTTGTAGAATGTCACCTCTCACACAAATAGGAATGGACATCAAAGTAAAATCTATTTCCCCTCTTCACTTATTAATAATGAGGATCTGTGTTTCTCTAGCTCTCCTTCTCATGATCCGAGTACCCGTATAGCTAAAACCTTCCAGTTAGATAGTGGATGAGGGGGAAAGGGGGCCTGGACACATATTTACTGTATAGTAAAAAAGCTTCTTTGTTAGAGGCTTTGTTATCTGAGGCATACCTATACCTATGGATTTCAACATTTATTCTTAAATAGTAAATATTAATTTTAAGGTTTATTTTTAAATCCAGGCTACAAAAATCAGACAAAATGGAGATGGAGTGGAGGAAGTAGGGGGATGATGCTGACCAAGCAATTCAAGGATAGTAATATTTGTAATGTCTTCTTTTTCTGGGTTGACTTCATGTGACATTCCAGTATACCAAATAAAGAGTGTATGTTTTAGTAACAGGACTGTTTCTCTATTCGTCTTAGGGACTACCACGTGAAAAATGACCCAGCAGATGCAGAGCCTACAGCTTTCCCAGACAAAAAAGAACAACCCACCATCATCTCCCAATGCTGCTAAACGACTCTATCGGAATCTCTCAGAGAAACTGAAGGGAAGTCACTCATCATTCGATGAGGCATATTTCAGAGCCAGATCAGACCGCCTCAGTCTGCGAAAGTCTTCAGTGGTAATTTCTTTTTATTTCATCAGATGCTATATTAGCTGTTTAAAATAATCATGTGTCTTTCCAAGATTAGATCCCATATTATTTTGCATACCTTTCCCAAGTTGTTATAATTTCCCTAAATTATACTTGTTTCCCAGTCTTGATCTGTGAGAATTGATTTCATCTACAAAAAGTTGTGGGGAGAATATGATGATGAGCACGCATGTAAAAATATGGAGGACAACTCTTGAAAGCAGAACCTATTTTGCTGTATGAGCAAAGGGACCATGGGGAGACAAATAGATCAGAGAAGCAGACCTATCTTCCTCAAAGGAGTGTGGTCCAGTTTTTGGACTACAACACTCACCTCTAGTCAGCATTTAACATGCATGATGCAGCCTTATTCTCAACATCCCTGTGCAAACATACATACTGTCCTGATCTGTGTATTCAGCAGAAAAGTCTGGAAGAGGTTTCTACATGTTTTTAGTTTGAATGTGCATAGAGGGCTCTGTATAATCTGCAGTTGACATATTAGAATGAAGTTGATGGAGATGATGGGAATCTGTACAGTGTTTTGGCCTACAAGTCCCAGAAATCCCAGTCAGTTTATCAGCTGTTAGGATTTCTGGGAGTTGAAGGCCAAAATATCTGGAGACCCACAGGTTGAGAATCACCAGTCTAGTACATACCTCCCTATAGCCTTTTAATTACATTTTCTCCAATCTTGTAAGTGACTGAATTGAGCTTAAAATGCCAAATTGTTTATGGCTGGAAGCAGCAGTCAGCAAATATGGGCAACTCTTGAAGATCTGAAAGTAAATCACCAATTGAAGTAGAAAATTGCCCCGTTGCTTACTAACTCTGTTAGGTATATTCAGATACATTTTTATCATGGGACAAAGAGAGAGGTCCACCACATGCAACACCTCTGAGCATGATGACAGGAAAACACAGAATGTCAGAACCTATGAATGCCATTCAGTTTTTCAGCGTAGACAAAATCCCAATAAGAAATTGTCTTCCAGCCTCACTGAAATGATATGCAGGCAGCCCCCAGGTTATGAAAAATATAGGTTCTGTAGATCTTTTCTTAAGTTGAATTTGTATGTAAATCAGAACAGGCAAATTTATAAAGTGTAACTCCATATGTGTATGTGTGTTGGATAACATAGGGAAGGTTTAATGCCCATGTGGCATTTATTTTGTGCTCTGTGCCCCTTTCCAGAAGATTTCCCTTCACTTTCTATTCCTATAATAATCGGATTTTGAAAAAAAAATGCTTGTAGTGGAAACAAGGATTGGCAAGAAAGCTCCAGTGGAGACACCTTTTCCCCATAATAACTCTTTCCTAGGGGTAGATTTCTCTCACTTCCTGTTTTCTCACCCCTGTTCTTAACTATAAGTCATATGCAAGTTGGATATCTATAACTTGGGAACTACCTGTATTTCTGTGCATTTCGATTAGTCTTAAGGAAATTATGCCCTATTTTACCCAGTTAAGAGAGAAGTGCCATTTTGATTTTCTACTCCAAGCATCAATTTGTCTTTAGACAGGGCTACAATTGCATGGTTTTTCTGTGTTACCTAAGCAATGATAACATGCTTACAACTACAACAAGATTTGTTAGATGACTGTCAAGACCCAGAAGCCTCAGTAAAGCCAAACACAAGGTAGATGATCAAAACACAAGTTTATTAGGAACAAAAGAGTCTTTAAAGTACTTAAAGTCAGTGCAGGAGGTTCAGTCAACAAGTTGACATCAAAAACGGGGTGAAATAGTGAACTGAAGTATAAACCGGATTATCCTGGTGTTTAATCACAAAACACAAAAATACAGCAATCTGCTTTAAATTGGCACAGTTCAAGAGGCACAGTTCAAGAAGCAAAAACAGAGTCAAAAAAGTTCTTAGGTCAAGCACAAGGTAAGCAAATAGTTCAAATCCAGTTGGCAAAAGCATTGTTCAAACCAGTCCAGAGTCCATCCACAGAAGGTAAACACAGGAACACAGGAACACAGGAATCTGTAGTCCAAGGACCCAAGCTCGAGAGTTGGCAGTAACAAAGATTCACATCCCAAAAGAGACACTTTGCCTTCTGCAAAGAGCCATACAACCAAAACCCACTTTTATCCTAAAGCTCCTCATTAGAGGATGATGAGCTCCCCACCCTTTCCTCATCGCTCTCAGCTGCCTCCATCCCTGCAGCTGAACCCTTAGATCTTGCCAAGTGCTCCCCGGTTGCCATTCCCCCATGAACCCTTCAAATTCATCACTGGAGGTGGGTTGATACACGGGTCCAATCCAGCTCATCCTCCTCCCTCATATCACTCCCAGACCCATCACTCTTTTCAAACCCCATGAAGTCCTCGTCCTCTGTAGGAGTGCTAAGTATTTCACGGATGCACTTCCTTTGAAGCTCTTCGTCGGACTCTTGATCACAAGTAGCCCGCTTGACTCCCCTGCTTTCCTCCCCATACCCCATTTCACAATTGGAGAAGCCTTCAAATGTCTCATAATCACTTGGAGCCATGATTATCTCTCTAATCCGCTTTCGCTGCTGCTGCTCCTCCAACACCTGCGCAGACCTCTTCTCCCTTCTACCAGTAGTAGTAACGTTACCATCACGCTGAACTACAACAATGACACAAACAAAAAGAAAAAAAGAAAAAACAGTTTTCTAACTAAAGCATCTGCAGTTGTGAATCCTGAAGGTCTTCAGTCCTCAACCTCCATAATATCCTGACACTAGTATTATTGTGCATCCTCAAAAGTATATGTCTGCCATCTATATATCCTGTGGATAATCCTTGTGACATCTAAACAAAATAGGGCAGTATGTATAACTAAGTACATAACATTTACATTGTGTTTGATAGTAGTCAGTCAGTGATTTATTACGGTCTTTGACCAGCACAGTACAGAATGGGGTATCGGTGCCCAAGGAAGGGAATCGCAGTTCCCAAGTAGATCAGGTATAAAAACAGATTAAAAGCAGATTAAAAGCAGATTAAAAACACGTTATATAAGAGACAAATTAAAAAGATAAAACAGACTAAACTTACAGTTTAAAGTGCATGTATGAATCTAAAATAGGGGGTGGCTAATAACAAATATTAGACGACTGGGAAGCTATAAAAGGGATGAGAGGGGAGCATTTACAGCATTTCAGTTATTACAAATCATTCTAACTATATTCCTGGCAGGAAGTTGCCTGGTGGAGTCTGTCATCAGCTGTCTAATGTTAATTGCTGCTGCACAGAACTTGGCAACACTGTAGGTTGTCTCAGAGCAAGAGTCCGAGAGCAACAGGGAGGTGTAATATCTTTCAGTGCGCCCTGGATGTTTTAAAAGCCATGGAGTGATGAAATTAGCTCTAATGTCTCTATAGAACACACATTGGAGGAGCACATGTTCAGTTGTTTCGATGTAGCCAGACTCACACGGGCATAGTCTCTCCTGGGCAGGGGATGTTTGATAGTAAAGATAATCTAGTAAACTAATGTAAAAAATAAAGGTGGGCCTGTTTGTTTTTGTTAATCACAAGAGACCTGATCATCCATGAAATTTGGTATCCAAAAAAGTTCTGGAACCAAAAGGCATTGGTTATCTTCTCTATTATCAACACAAGAGTTTTTAAAGGGGAGGGGGTGTACAAAAGCATTCCATTTTGTGCAAGGACCTAGCAAGGAGAAAACAATTGAAATAGGATAGCAAAATAAGAACAAATTCCTATTTTAAAAAATAATTTGATTTGTATCCATGGGTGGGCCATGTTCAGATTAAACACATAAAATATCGAGTTCTAGTACATGGTGTGAAATGTATTTCTCTTGATATGGTGTGTAATTTTCTTTGTTTTGAAAGACTGTGAATTGCTTTGGTGTAATTCACATGAACTGTGGATAAAGTGGTAAAATGGTAGGTGGGTGGATGTAGAGTCCATCATATCCAAAATCAGCAGATGGCTAGCTTAGTACTCTCTGTGACATCTAGCCTTCTGTGATGAGAAGGGGATTTGAAAGAAAAAAATTGACTGTATATTTGATTTTCCACCTCCAATCTGAAGGTGTGTGGAACTAGGTTTTTATTCCGACTTGTTTCAAGTTTTGTTTTATCATGTGAGTAGCTTTTGTGTCAGTTCAGTTCAGGTCTAATAAAAGCTACTAGCCCCAATGTTCTACAGAGAGGTATTTTCAGTGAGATTCACCAAAAATGATACCTAATGACAGCTCATGGTCCATTCTGACATTTTCAAGATGTGTTAGGAACATTGTGGGAGGGTATATCAGTCAAATAAATTGCTTTCTTCCAAGCATATTTTAAAATGTGTCATGTGGTACAATTCTAACCATAAAGGAATAGTTGGGCCCTTAATTTCATTCAGGGAGGTTCCAGACAGGACTTTAATGCAGGCCCAATCAGGTTTCAAAAGATGCCCTGCTGGAGCTTCTGACAGGGGACCTAGACGCAAAAGAAAACTGTCCAGAAAAGCTTTAAAAAGAAACAAAAAATTACCTGTGGCACTTTCCTGATGCCAACCCTCTCCTGGCACATAGAAATGACACACCAGGAGGAGGGGGGCAGGACCAATGTTCCTCTCCCCCCGCCCTTCCTTCTCCTGGTGCATCATTTCTACGCAACAGGAAAGAGCCAGCAGGGAAATGCCAGATGGGTAAGTTATTTTTTTTCTTTTTAATGCTTTTAAAGGGGTTTTGGGAGGGGTGGGGCTGTCTTGAGTTTTTCATGCTTCAGGAGCCCAAACAACCTAAGACAGCTGTGTGGATTGGGACCAGAATTTGTGATATGCGATCCCCTGACCCACACAGCACTCACAGCTGGAATGATCCGGGTCTTCTGAAAGACCTGGTCATTCCAGGTGTCAAATTAATTCAGGACAAAGCAGGGTTTTCCTGCTTTGTCCCAAATTAATTTGTTTTTACCCGAGGCGTCGTTTGGACAGTCCAGGTAAAAACACGGATGCTTGCATGTTTTAGGCGCTGTCTGGATGCGCCCTCATT